TAAAAACTTTTGCTTGACATGATAATAAAAACTAAAGATTTTCTATGATGTACTATGTGTTCGTTCTGCCAAAAATAGACATTCGTCTTCTTCTGGTTTCAAATCAATCCTTCAGTGGAGAAAGTTTGGATTAACTATCTGTCTATGAAAGCTGTAAATCTACTTCAGTTTACAAAGAATATTCACAAGATAATATATAGAAATCACATAAAAGAGCATGATAATACAAAATCCAAGTTTTTAAATTTTGACATAACTATTCTTCCACTGCACATATGCGTCAACAAGGCATCCGACCATAAATGAAAAATCATTCTAATGCACCCTTCTTTTCTAATCAAAAATTTTTACATTTCAACGTTGTACTATTGCAATATTGGACATATCACTACTTGTTCGAACATATGTTTCATCTTGTCTAATGTTGCTATGCTAGCAACACACTCAAACGAAGATGCATTTTATTTGAACTGAAAATATTCATGAACAACTGTCTCGGTGCTAGTTTTAGAGGCACTGTTTGCGCTTCAATGTGTTACTCAATGATGTTTTCGGTGACTGGAGAAAAGATAGAACCGAACAGAAAGAATTCGAATATTCGACTGAACTTGACATTAGTCATCTATGGCTGAAGAGAAAGCAGATGTGTTGAAAGAGAAACGTGAAAATCTGGAAACACAATGATTGGCTTTCCTATTGAAGATTTCCGCTTCATTTGTCAATTAAGCAAAATCAAAGAAATCAGTCAAATTGGACAATCAGAAGTATTATAAGAAAATGAAGAGCGATCTATAGAATTCCTATATATAATCAATGCATAGAATAACATTTTCAGGACTGTTTCGATATAACTGGTGAAATGTGCTGTCTGTTTTTCACATGTCATCAATGATTAAATTATTTTGTCTATCGTAGATTAATACAATATTATATAATCTAATATAGCTATTCTCTACTGATAATAATCAAAATCTATGTGAAAAGAAGTCATTCTTATAAGCAAGAAAAGTTCGACTTGTTCCATTAGAATCTTGACTATTCAGCATCGATACTCATCTTTAAAAGCTTTCTTCAGAGCTTGTTCACACAGTGCTTGCAAATAATTTACATAAATTTTTACTTAGGATCAATAACAACATAGATTTTTTTCATCATTACAAAAACGAAGAGCTCATAAGAAGCAAATATAATTTAACCGAAGTGATTATTTCTAATAATCGTACATGTTAATATCAAAATATTTAAAAAAAACTAAAGCAAGTGTTTCTTTTTTGTACAAAATATTTTATTCATTAAAAATCAGATGAAGGTGGTAACTCTCTTGGTGGTGGTGGTGGCCAATAAGGTGGAGGTGGCGACTGTATACGACCGAGTTCAATGACTGTGTGTGGATCGTTTACTCTATTATTCGTATGAACTTTAACATGCGTATAAACATAGATACCAATATAAACTAAACAAATAGCGATCATAACTGAAGCACAAGTTATTTGTATTTTAATTAAAATAAATTTAATCCAATGAATATCTGTGCTAATACTTAAGATAATATTGAAGAATTTAAGATTTAATGATTCTCCACTGCACAAGTTGTTTGGCCACAAGCATATATCAGGATTACGCAGAAATAGAACATCATAAAATAAAAGAACGCTTGATGCAGCAATCGAAATAAAATGTACAATTAGTACATATGTTGCACAACTTAGTGATTTTACACAACAACAGACTAAATAACGCACAAAAAAAACTATCGCTCATATACGATTATCATCATTTCAAATACCTACCAACAGTAAACGTTGATATCGAAGTTATTATAAAGAAAAATGAAGTAATAAAACCAATGAAAAAAAAAGAATATTTTACATTGATGAACATACTCCAAAATTCCAGACCAATAATAATACTTGTCAATAATATTTCAACTATTGCTATTAAAGCGAGTAATGATGTTGGCCAAAATCGTTGCCATCGTTGACGTTGATTACGTTTTGAATTAAATTGAACAAATTGCATCTGCTTTGATTTCGTTATTTTGTTACAGAAAGAAGTTACAGTTTATATAAATATACGCGCATATATATATATGTATGTATACATGTTTTTTATTATTTTATAAACTATGAGTCAGATACCACTGTAAATATGCTTTTTTTGTCTCTATTGATGAGAATCGTATTGACTCTGATATGAGTGATTATGGCTGATGCCAACGCATTCGAACAACAACAATAAAAGAGAGGTCGTAAAACAAAAATTAGTGAACAGGTTTTTTTTTGTAATCATACAGATAAAATACAACTCAGATAAATCATTTGTTACCCAAAATAGAAGAAAAATATGAAGTTTCTCAATGTTTTTATGTCAAATTTATTTATTTTACATTTTAATGTTTATTGCAAAAAAAAAATATCTAAGCTAATATCTCTTCGATGATAGTAGCTTCTGACTTGTGATCACGTTTATTGTAAAATCAAAACCGAGATTCGATTATTTTGAAGGTGATCAATCAAGGATCAAACTTTTCTTGAATGATCACCTTTCATTAATCTTCAATAAACTTGTTACTGTTGTACGTGAATTCAATTACCGAATGATTTTCTCTGTCAATTGAATCCTATCGAACTTTTGTCTCATTGTGATTGAAGTATAGACAGTGTCTACTTAATGCATTTTCAACATTTGATAAAGTACTTATTCGTCGTGATTTTTGAAAATATTATGCTAAAATTAAAAAACAAACATTAATTTATATATATTCAATTTACTTTTATTCGTCTGAAATCTACATCGAATTTCAATATGACTAAGATTCTTAATTAAAAAGCATTTTGTCAAAAAGTTCAAAGTAGACTCAATGAATGGATCTACAACAATTGGTCACAATACTGAAAAATAAAATGGGCAAAAAATTCTTAGCATTATCGAAAAATAACTCGGAAAAGTTCAGCAAATAACTAACAATCTATTCAAGAACAAGAAACAATAAATTTAAAATATGAATGCCAACAATCAATGATCGTTTACTATATAGGAAGATCATCTAAAAATCCATTTCATAGGATAAATCTTTGTCTTTCAAATGCTACTCTCATCCTTGCGCAGTCGTGTATATGATTGAACCATATGTCTGTAAATTATTGTTTGTGGGAAAATGAAATGGGAACTACACTTGTGCCAAGCATTCAACCCATTAACATTACCCAATTGTTACTTTCATCGAGTAAACATTAGCTAATGTCTAAGATAAGAAGAGAAAATTTCCAAGTGGTATCAAATGAAAAAAAGGACTAGTAAACAATTAGCTTTACACAAGGAGTCAAAAATGTTCAGTGATAGATTTTGAAATATGTCATTTGAGAATAATCGAATTTTGTATTTATTAAGATTCCTTGATTTTGACTTTACAACAAAGAAGATATCAGATTTCGAGTTTCGACTTGAAAATTTGCACAAATAAAACTTTCAACGATACTATTTCCTTGTGAAGATTTCATTGTTTTAAATGCTTCACATTCGAAGATATCTAGCATAGAAAAAACAATTCTTTTTTTACTAGAAAGTTTTCATCATTCATATCTCGAAGTAGGATATACAAAAATCCATGGCACTCACGTAATTAACTAATATCATGGAGAGTTTTATTAGCAAAAATTTTCAATTCAAAATTTAATTTTCATGGTGATCTGAGAAGCACTACAGGTTTCGGTTAAAAAATCCAGTAAAAATTCGATATGTCAAGCGTAAAGGTTCAAACAATTGAATACAATTAGATTTTGACACTATTCACTATAGTCGATTATCTGAGTACAATTTCAACCAAAAAAGCTACCAAACACTTGAAGATATTCCTTCGTCAGACATTTTCCGTATTCTATTTCGAAATGAATAAATCTTAAATTGACGAAATAACTTTACAATCGGATATTTAGTCTTATGTAAAACGAGCTGTCACATAGCTAAAGGAACATTATAGTATTTCTTCGTTTTCTTCACTTATATCACTCAAAATGGAGTATTGTACTTAGTTGTCGATTGAAATTCATCGTTCAACAAGACAAATTGGTTTAAATAGGTTGATCGTTATGAATACAGAGAACAAAATGAATCCATAATTCACAAATCATTTTTAACAAACTTGTTTCTTTATTTTAAATCATTAAGAATACTTGACTTGACTCTTATAAATACAAATGTCTCGGTCAATAAATACTGACTAACAACTATTAATAGCTGCAAGCATTCTTTTTTTTGCTTTGAGACTCGCCTTCACTGAAATAACTAGATCCTTTTTCTAAATAATAGAATATTTGTTTTATTGTATTTTATCTAGGAAGGCTTATAATTTTGTCATAACTTGTAAAATACCTCCAGGTCCTACTATATTTCACAAGACTATTTTTTTCTTGATTGCACTTGATTGGCAAGACTATTTTCAAGTCCTTGTTACATCTGACTATGACTAACAAGACTCATGCAATTCAATAGATTAGTCAATTCAATTTTGTCTTTAAAAGTAAAACTTTAAACTTAAATGAAAATTCCATGCAATATGAATAAGAAAATTTCTTGGTATTAAGAATATTTTCCCTTGACGATGAAATATTGTATGTTGGTTTGTTCTGTTACTAATATTGCCTACATCATGTTGTTTTTGCAATGAGTCAATGAAAAATTCCAGAGAGAAAAAGAGAAATAAAAAAAGAACGCAACATACATCCATGCACGACTGTTTATAACGAATGCGATAGAAGTAAAAAAAAAGCGAATTTACTGTATTTTACGATGTGCTATTCACAGCCGACACGTGGTTTCAGTTATATGGATGAAGATTCAATTGATCCTGAAGTCAAATGTAGCATTTGTACTGATCCTTTTATCGATCCTGTGGTAATATCGTCTTGTAAGCACATATTCTGTCGATCAGGCATTGAAACCGTATTAAACGATAAACCAGCTTGTCCTTTGTGTCGTCACGAGCCGATCACTCTAAATGAACTTCAGTCGACGGATCACACCATACAAAACTATCTCAATCAACTTTTAGTTAAATGTGACACATGTGATGAAATAAACATTCCACGAAATCTTTTCGAAGAACACATCAAGAAAATCTGTCCAAAAGTACAAATGACATGCTCTGCTCTCGATCTCAAATGTGGATGGACAGGTTTACGTGATCAACTCGGTGAACACATTGCACACTGTACTTTCGAATTAATGAGACCTATTCTTGGTCAATTACCTGTTATGGCAGAGCAAATGGAACGAATTCAGAACGACAATCAAGAGCTCCGATTACAAGTGAATGGACTCGTACATCGATGCAAACAACTTGAAATGAAGATAAATGGATCTTGCATGAGTAAATATCAGCTAATAGTCGAATTTTTTAAGAGGAAAACATGTGGTATTTTGTCCTGAAACTCTATTGTTTCAGATGAATCTTATATCCTAACTATAGCCATTGTATCAAGATATCCCATTAGGAATTGAGTTCTCGGAAAAATATCGGATCGAAACAATTCGAGTGTTTTACATATTCAACTCGAAAATTAGTAACATTGAAGTAATCAAGTATATAATTTGAAGTCATGCATATAGTAGATTCAAAATCTCACGTATGTTACATTAGTAGACCGCTTCGAATTGAGATAAACGTGAACAGCAATATCAAAAGTGCTTAATGTGACATCATAGGACCGCTCTAGTGTTATCTGAGACAAGAGAATTCTATTCGATGGGATTATGCTTTCGATATTCATTTTTCAGGAAAACAGTTGTAATAAAAAAGACATTAATAGGATCTTTGAAAAGAGTCTTTGCACTATAATTCTAACTCATTTCTAGGAAGATATAGAAGCTACAAAACGAAGTCGCCAATTTTTAATTCATTTATAGCCTATAGAAAGTTTATTGAAACATGGAAATTTATTTTTCTTGATGATAGTAATTTTTTTTGTAAAGAATGATGTTTAAAGTATTAATTAGAAAGGCTGGATTTAACAGATTTCTCGTTATACTACTATCCATCCAAAAATGAGAATTTCATCACAAAATAAAAAATAAAGGATACGGCCGGATTAGAGCATAAAATTCTGCACATTTCCGTCTATTTTTTATTTTTTAATGAATGCAAAAAAAGCTTTTTCGAAGGCTATATATATAATCTTAGGGAATCTATCACTTTTAGATAATAACTATGCGAATTATAAGTTTTTCTCTTTTGTAAAATCAATATGAAAGTTACTACTGTTGATCAACATTGTTTTTCATGCTCTACCAAACCACATAATTATGATGTTTATTGATGAGTTAAAACAAGATCATGATGTGATTACTACTATCATATTAATTCGGCTTCAAAAGGTAGGAGATCATATCCTAATTGATCTATACAAAACGTTTCTTGATTTTCGTGAACAGTAAAAAAAAACTTTTTTGTCATTCTTATCAAGCTGTAGAAGCATTTTTCTCGTGCGCGTTCATATTTGCAGGAAAGAGTTTAGAATGAATTTCTTATTTAAGGGGCAATTTATTCTTTTGCATATGCTATCATTCAATATTGGTGATGTCTTGTCATGTATATAAAACTTAATATCTATGTTTTTATTTAGTTCCATTGCGCACTGCTGAAATTGATATTAATGCTAAATGGACAGCAAATGGTTTAACTGTGGTAGGAGGTAATGAGCGCGGAAATCGACCCAATCAACTTTTTCATCCTCAAGGTTTATATTTGAGTGATGAAGAAACACTGTATGTCGCTGATTTTTACAACCATCGTATCGTTGAATGGAAATTGGGCGAAAAATATGGAAAAGTTGTAGCTGGCGGAAATGGACAAGGAAATAGAAACGATCAATTGAATTGTCCAACAGACGTCATTGTTGATAAAGAAAATAATCATCTCATCATTTGTGATCGGGAGAACCGACGAGTAGTTCGCTGGTCTCTTCAGGATTCAACAAGCGGAGAAACAACGATTTCAGATATTAGTTGCAACTGTTTGACGATCGATGATAATAAATCTTTGTATATTACTGACATTGACAAGCATGAGGTTAGACGGTGGCGTTTGGGAGAAACTCAAGGGGTAGTGGTTGCTGGTGGAAATGGTTCAGGTAATCGTCTCGATCAACTCAATTATCCTACCTTCGTCTTCGTTGATCGCGATCACTCAGTATACGTGTCGGACTATTACAATCATCGGGTGATGAAATGGACAGAGAATGCTAAAGAAGGAATAGTTGTGGCAGGTGGTCAAGATGCAGGCAGCTCTCTTAGACAGTCACATTTTCCTGGAGGAGTCATTGTTGATCAGTGGGGCACTGTTTATGTGGCAGATAGTGAAAGTCATCGAGTGATGCGTTGGCAAAAAGGTGCGATGGAAGGAAAAATTGTTGCTGGCGGGAATGACAGAGGAGCACAACCGAATCAATTCAATCGTCCATCGGGAATACTATTCGATAAACATGGAAATCTATTTGTCTCAGATCATGGAAATCATCGAGTACAAAAATTTGAAATCGCCACCACATACTCCTGACTTTTGTTTAGAAAGCATCTAAGTTACTTTTCGTTTGTCGATTTCGACGAATAATGATCAAATAAAGATTTGTTTCTATAAACGTGCTTTTCCGAAAATTATCTATTGCCGATGCGGGAATAGGAGTGAGCGTTGATTTCATCTGAGGATATGCTTATGGGTGACGAGAGGGCTCATATCTACACCCACACTCTCCATTATTAGTAGAACCATACGATAAATAAATAGGAGCTTTCCATGCTTGAGACACAATTGGAAAATTTAATTCTAATAACATGTTCAAGTTTTCTTTATTTGAAGCAACATGACAGTCAGAATATCTTCATACCAGAGATATTAATCGCGACTAGAAATTTGCTGCTGCCGCGATGGTTTTCGAGAAATTCTACGAAAATCTTTTCCTTCACTATGCCAAATTAGTACAATTGGATTGAATCCATCAGATTCAATCTCGATTGTGACTGTTGATATTGTAGACAGTAAAAATAGGTATAAATTCGTTCAAATTTGACAGCGCCGTCATGGATACCTGTGCTTCATACTCGATCATTTGACAAGAAGATACATTGTGCATGGTACAAAAAAAACCTGAAAGTTATATGATATAAGATATCACATAGTTGCGATATTGATGCAATGGTATAAAAAATACGATTTTTTTTTAATGTTATTCATATTTGAAAACCCGTGTGGGTGTAGGCCTTACATTGAAAAAGACTAACGACGACACCCACACCCTGTTTGCTACGTTGTTTTGGATGAGTTTTCTTTTTTTCTGTAGTATTCAAAATAGTAAGAGTACTTATTTTGTGATAAAACCTGAGAGTTAGCTACGTTTTATCAACAATCTCTTCTTTATATTGAAAGATACACAATATTTTACTTGTATTGAGGCTGGCTAAAATTAGTTTATGTGCAGGTCAAGACTAATACATGATCGACTATTTTCAATGTGTGTCTTAAATATCTGTTTCAGGCTTTCAAATAACATAGTATTAGATAAGAACTTCTTCGGTAATAATAAAACCCCAAACAAGAAATGTTAAGACAATATTGTTACAAACCACTGTTGCAAATTGTTTTTTTTTGAAAAGATTTTAGAACGAAGTGCTGCAAAATACTATATGAAGGTTACCTTGGCAAAAACTAATAACTATTTATCCTATTGATTTATTTGGTGTTCATCACGATTCCCGAATTCTATGTTCAGTCAAACTACGTACTCACCGATCTGATTATAAGACTTACACTATTTGAAAGACAACAAATACTAATGGGATTTTGAACTTTTGATGAATCATTCAATAATCACCTTTGATTTCAAGAAGGTAATGATGAATTTGTTAGCATATCACCTTACATAATCATATACGAGATCTTGAAATAAAAATTCTGAGCAGCAGAATAATCGTCAAGACTTATTACTAGAAAAGATATTATACAACAAGAAGCAGTTTGATAGACTGGCATGCGTATTCAAGGCTATCATAAAAATATTCCGTTAGAGAGTTATTTTCATCTTCATATAAATCAACTTTTTCGAGTCTGAAGACTTATAAAACGTCCGTTAAATTCAAATAACAAGTCGACATATTCCTGGATAACTTGTTCCGTGCCAATTATGAAGAACATACTAAACCTAAACTTATCGCACATCTAATGAAAAAGTACTGAAGTATAAATTCTTAAGAATAACAGGGGTGTCGTATTGATTTCACCTATTATCTTAGATTTAAATTTTTGTAGATTTATACTTATTGTTCATCGTCTACATCAAGTCAAAAAACAATTGAACGAGTAAATGAAGATTATAGACGAAGGTATTTCAGTTCAATGGTGACAGAATAAGGATATAAAAAGCTTGTTAGCGCAGCTCCTGCGGAGCTGAAATGTGGAACTCACGTATACCTTTAGCTTTGTTACCTGACGCATCATCTGTATACTGAAAGACTTCTCGTCAACTATAGTTGTTTTCCTTGAGAATCGATGAAAAGAGTGGGAATTTATTATTTATTTGTATATTAAAAAAATATATTAAAA